TATATTGGCTGAGATCACGCAGTTACGTGCTGCTTCGGAGCGTCAGACAGCTGAGATGACTTCGTTTCGCCGTGCTCTTGCTGTTTGTCAGCGTCAGCTGCGCTGGATTCGAGATCATTTGGAGGCCAGCACGAGTGCTGAGAGTGGCTCTGATTCTTCAGATGCTGCGGATGCTGCTTCTTAGCTTATTTTTCTTGTGATTTTTTTGGCGCTCTTTGGCCCTTTGTGACAAAAAGGGGGAGTAATTTGAGCGTAGTTATATTGATTTGACTTGAGTATGTTGGAGTAAATTAATTTTTGATAACTTGATGAGAACTTGATGAGTATATATTCAATGTTCTAACTAAATTAAGTTTTTGATGTTTTTGCAATCTTAATGTTTTTTATTGGTGTTTTAAACATACATTGTGATTGCTTCTTAATCTGGTTAATGATATATATAATGTATATCTTGTCTCTGACTACTGTTCCCATTTCACTTGCGTTTTCACATGGTATTTTGAGTTTTGCCTTTTCAGGAAACAGGATCAACAAGATATTGCAGAGATAGTAGATAGGTTGGAGTCAATGTATTTTCATCCTTGACTATCAAATGTGTTTTTGTCACAGAATGCCAAAGGGGGAGTTTGTTAGGAAATATGTAATTGGCAAATCTGTGACCAAGGACCAAAATGTAATAATTGTAAAGTCAAGGATTAAAATGTCATAATTGTAAGGTCAAGGACCAAAGTGTTAAATGTCCAATAGTTCAGGGACTTGAGTTGCAATTAATCAAAGTGTTGAAGGCTAGGTCTAGGGTTGTGATGGATGCCTCGAAGTTGCAAACGGCGCGGGATTTCGCTAGAGTCACGCCATGATATCGCTCGAGCCAAGATTGCAGAACCACTGTCGCTAGAGCCTCGCCAGCAGGTCGCTCGAGCGAAGTGGACGTCACTCGAGTCACGCTGGTCCCTCGCTCGAGCGACCTATTTATTTTGGCAACATTAAATTTAAAAGCTCGCGAATTTTTGACGCGCCACAAGACCAAATGTTGAGCCATATAAATACCATTCGTCTCCTTCGAGTTGATTATGGAGAAAATACACATTGAAGCCATATTATTGCTTCACTCTAAAATCCTTGGAGATTAATCCTTTATATCTTTCACACCAAGGTTCAAAAAGCAAAACAATCTTCTAAACTCTTCAGATTAAAAAATCCTTGGCTTTTGCAGAAAAACATCACACCTTGAAACACCAAAACACCACCTTCTCTAAATCCTATAAAACTTCCAGAAGATCCTCAGATTGAAGATCCGGGAAGAACTGGCTTGAAGAGTGGGAGTGCTTGACGATTCACGGGAAGTAGAAGTCACACAAGGCTGGGATGGTAGCACAAATCTGCTAGATCCAGGAGAGTCTTGTTCTCAAACAGTAAGGAGGTTAGAAAATTGAGGGGATCAATTGTTCTGACGTACTGTAAGTTACCTTCTACAAATAGTGGATCTCTACTGGCTTGAGCCCGGAGTTTTTACCCAGTTGGGGTTTCTCCGTCAACATTCGTTGTGTTCTTTTATTGCTTTAATTTATTTATTGTTACCGGTAATTCAACATAAGTAAATAAGACATGTGAATGAATCTGGACAAACTTTAATTCTTATGACTTGTTGCACGAATTAATTGATAAGTTTTTTTAATTCCGCATGAACACCTATTCACCCCCCCTCTAGGTGTTAGTTAGGTCGAACGTTAGGTTTTTCAAGGGCGAATGTGGTAGAGGATCGAGAAGTTACTATGGCTCGATTCTTGAATGAGTTAAATAGTGAGATTGCTAATGTCTTTGAATTGCAGCACTACGTGGAGCTAGAGGATATGTTGCACGTTACCATGAAGGTGGAGAGACAATTGAAGAGGAAGGGGACAACTAGGTAGCTAATAGGTACTTCGGGTTCCAATTCATCTTGGAAGCCGAGGTGGGATAGTAACAAAGGTGATAGGACTGTACCTAAAGGTAGGAATGATTGGCCAAAGGGAAAGGATGAAGGTGCTAGCAAAATAATAACAAAATCGGAATCGCAACCATCAAGAAGTTAAGACATCAAGTGCTTTAGATGCTTAGGGTCGGGGCACATTGCTCTGTAATGTTCAAAATAAAGGACAATGGTATTGTGGGATAATGGAGACTTCGTGAGTCAAAGTGAAGGTAATTATGATGACATGCTGGCATTGGAGGAGGCTAGTGATGGAGAAAATTTTGAAGGTGCCGTTGGGGATTTACTTGTTGCAAGGAAAGCTCTTACTGCTCACATCAAGGC